GCTATTTTAAATATGCTCACTTTAAAATTTAAAATAGAAAAGATGAACAAAAATGTACTAATAAAAAGAAGAGGAATTGTTCTATAAAATCTGAATTCAGTTAAAAGGATGCACTTAAGGACCTAGAAGGCCACACGTGGCCTTGTGGCTGCAGTTTCCCCAGCCCTGTCATAGTCTATGAAGTCTGCTAGAACAAAACACCATAACGCAGGTGGCTTATAGACAACAGAAATTTATCTCTCATAGTTCTGGAGGTGGGGGAAGTCCAAGATAAGGGTTCTAGCAGATTTGATGTTGGGTGAAGGCTTGCTTCCTGGTTCATGGGTGGCCCCTTCTTGATGCATCTTTATGTGATAGAAAAGGCAGGGTAGCTCTCAGGGCATCTTTTAAAAGGAAATTAATTGTGTTCATGAAAGCTTTGCCCTCCTGAGCTAATCACCTTCCAGAGGCCTCATTCTTTTTTTTTTTTAGAAAGAGTTTTACTTTGTCGGCCCCTCGGTAAAGTACCATGGCGTAACAGCTCACAGCAACTTCCAGCTCTTGGACTTAGGCTATTCTCTTGCCTCAGCCTCCTGAGAAGCTGGGACAATAGGCACCCGTCACAATACCCAGCTATTTTTTTGTTGCAGTTTGGCCAGGGCTGGGTTTGAACCTGCCAACCTCAGGATATGGGGCCAGTGCCCTACCCACTGAGCCACAAGTGCCACCCAGAGGCCCCACTTCTTAATACCAACATCTTGGGGTATAGAATTTCAACATGTGACTTGTTTTGGGGGGGAAGAAGGGACACAAACATTCAGAAAATAGCAAAAGAAATTTGATTCTTTTAAAGAAATTAAGTTGTGTGTGATGTCGTAAATAAAAACTGGTGTCTGGTTAGGGTTTAGCAAGTATTTGACTCAGCCTTCCTCAATTTAGTGAAGGCACATAGACATTAGAAATCTGATTTTGTATCTGGACACCCATAGCCCAAGCCATCCTGTCTCCTTCACATCAGGTCCCAATCTTAGAATAGTTGTTTCCATTGCTTTGACATTCTAGTGGGATAGGAGCATTTTCAGAGTTGTTGATTAGGTCAGTCTGTGCTGTGATTTGGATACTCACAAGGAAGGTGCATCCCAAGCCCAAGCCTAGGATTTCAGTCCCTGATAGTAGCTCCAGATGTAATCCATGGTGGTCACAGCCACCTCGAAACTTTTGTCAATGGAATGGACAAAGGAAATGTCGTATATATGCAGAAAGAGATACTATCCAGCCATATAAAAGATGAAATCACATCATTTGCAGCAATATGGATGGAAATGGAGGTTATAATTTTAAGTGAAATTAGCCAGGCACAGAAAGACAAATACGGCACATTCTCGCTAACCTATCGGAGCTAAAAATCTTGATCTCATGGACGTATAGAATAGAATGGTAGGCTCAGCGCCTGTGGCTCAACCGGCTAAGGCGCCAGCCACATATACCTAAGGTGGCGGGTTCGAATCCAGCCTGGGCCTGCCAAACAACAATGATGGCTGCAACCAAAAAATGGCCAGGTGCTGTGGCGGGCGCCTGTGGTCCCAGCTACTTGGGAGGCAGAGGCAGGAGACTCGCTTGAGCCCAGGAGTTGGAGGTTGCTGTGAGCTGTGATGCCACAGCATTCTACCCAGGGGGACAGCTGGAGGCTCTGTCTCAGAAAAAAAAAAAAAGAATAGAATGGTAAACAAGAGACAGTTGGGGAAGAGGTCATGAAGAGAAGTTGGTTACGGATACGAACATAGAATTAGGAAGAAAATATAAGTATGAATATCTGATACCAGACTAAGGTGACTATACTTAGCAACAATATTATTTATATATTTCAAAGTAACTAGACAAGAGGACTTAAAATGATACCACTCCATAAAAATGATAAGCACACAAGGTGATAGATACCTCAAAGACCCTGGCTTGATCATTACACATTCTATGCATGTAACACACTCACATGCACTCCATAAATACGTAAATTATTATGTACCAATAAAAGAAAAAAAGCAGTAAAAAAGAAAACCCCTTTTGTCAATCAATATCAGCAGTGCCACTAAATGATTCTTGTCAGCCTTGTTATCATTACTCAATAATAAATACGGAGAAGGATTCCCTTCCCTAGAAGCCTCTGTTCTCATTTCCCGTTCTCTCCCACTGCGTTGCCACCCAACTCCCAGGCCTCCTCATGGTCCCCTCTTGTTCCATTCCAGTCCAGGCTGGGAACCTGTGGCTGTGGGGCCACATGTTGCCTTCTGGACCCTTGACTGTGGCCTTTTGATTGAATCCAAATTTTACGGAACAAATTCTTTTATTAAACAGGGCACAGCAGAGAAAGATGAAGCTTTTCTTGCTTCCTTTAGTGCTTAAAAAGGAACAATCTTGAAATGAGAAGGTCGATGTTTCTCTTCCTACTTCTTTCTGGTCCCTTTGTCATGTAAGTCAGTTTGGCTTCCCTTCCTGGCTTCCTTCCGGACTCCTGATAATCTTTCCTATACCCAGATTCTGCCCTGGGAGCAATAGGACAGAGTGGATAGATACAAGGAGAGGTTTCCCTCATTCTTAGGGAAGAAGAGATGGGAGGGAAGGGAGGAGATAACAGACGCTTACAATTTTATTATAAGTAGCTTTTATGCTATTACTTTCAACCCTAATTTTTTAATGATTGGGTCACAACATTAAAACACAGAGTGACGCTTTTCCTTTGAGAGTGTACTTTGTCTAAGTTATTAGGAAGCTCAGAACTAAGTTCAGAGCCCTACTGGCCTTTGCTCTTTGTCTATTCATTCCATGTTTGCAAGTTTACTTATTTATTTCAAGGTCATTTGTTTTGATGGTTTATTAAGGGCTTCCTTGTAAATGAACCTTCGGCTGGCAGCCTTATCACATTACAGTTCACATATTATAAAATTTGCTTTTTAAAAGTATACAATCAACTGGTTTTTAGTATAGTCACAGAGTTGTGCAAACAACTTCACTATTTATTTCAAAACAGTTTTACAACCCATTCAAAGAAACCCTGTACCCATAAGTAGTTACTTCCCCTTCCACCCTCCCACCAGTCCCTGGCTTTTCTGGATATGTTATACAAAGGAATTATGAAGTATGTGGTCTTTTGCAATTGGCTTCCGCGATCGGAGTGATGTTTTCCAGGTTCCTCCAGGTTGTAGCAAGTTGTACTACTCCATTTCTCTACCACTGCTGAGGAACGTTCCTTTGTATGACTATACCACGTTTTAGTTTTCCGTCCATCAATTGATGGACATTTGGAGTGTTCCCACTTTTTGGTGATTGTCAACCTCCTTCTGGGAACATTTCCTGTAGACATAAATTTTAAATGCTCTTGGTGGTATACCCAGGGATGAAATTACTGGGTCATATGGCAACTCTGTTTAACATTTGGAAAACTGGAGAATTGTTTTCCGCATCACCTGTAACATTTTACATTCCCATCCCTGGGGTGTGAGAGTTCCAGCTTCTCTACGTCCTTGCTAACAGTTGGAATTGTCTGTCTTTTGAATTTTTGCCATTATGGTGGATATTAAGTGGTAGCTCATTTGTATTTTTAATGATCATTAAAAAAATTGTGTCTGTGGGAAGCTGCTTCAAATTCTTTTTATATTGTGATAAAACAAATAGAACATAATATCTAACATCGTAACCATTGTAAAGTGTGCAATTGAGTGGCATTAGGTACATTTACAATGTTATGCAACCAGCACCGCTATTCATTTCCAAAATTTTCTCATCAGCCCAGACTGAAACTCTGTATTCATCAAAAGTGGCTCCCATTCTCCTTTGTCCACAGCCTCTGGTGACTTCTTTTCTACATGCTATTTCTGTGCGTGTTATAGTCCAGGTAGCTCACATCAGTGAAATTATACAATATTTTATTTTGTGTGTATCTGGCTTGTTTCATTTAGTATGTTGTCAAAGTTCATCCATGTTGTAGTAGGGATCAGAATTTTATTCCTTTATTACTTAAATTATTTTGTAAGCAGCCGGTATAATCTTAAATAATAAGCTAATAAAAAAAATGTGCCGCACACCACAGGATCATCTGTGTTTTGCCTTTAAGATCCTGGACAGACAATGACTCATACCCGTAATCTCAGCAGTTTGGGAAGTCAAGGTGGGAGGACCACTTGAGGCCAGGACTTTGAGATCAGCCCAGGCAAGAACATAGCAAGACCTGATCTCTACAAGAAATAAGAAAACAAATTAGCCACGTGTGGTGGTGGGTGCCTATAGTCCCAGCTCCTAAGGATGCTGAGGCAGAAGGATCTCCTGAGCCCAGGAGTTTGAGGTTGCAGTGAGCTGTGATGATGCTACTACACTCTAGCTTCGGTGACAGAGGGAGACCTTGTCTCAAACAACAAAACAAAACCCCACAAACAAACAAAAAAGATCTTGGCACAGCACCTTGGAGGCAGCCGCCTCTCCCCTTCTTTGTTTGCTGTGGAATGTGGTTGCCGCCTTCTGCCTCCATGCTCAATGGAAGAGTCAGAAGACGCCTCTTCTGAAAACTGCCAGTGTATGTTTTCTTCACAACAGTCAGGAAGATTTGGTAAAGGGATTTTAGGTGGGGCTTCCCTAGGATACGTTGTGAGAAGAGGAGGCTTTTAACTCTTCCTAATCTTTACATTGCAGGGGTGTCCCATTGGTAGCAGCTGAAAATGCAAGTTACTTTTGCCGATGGAGCGTGGAAGAGTGTGTGGGAACCAGAAGGCTTAATTTTAATATCTAACTTGAGAATCCTGCGCTCTCATCGATTTTCCAAAGGAGAGCTCTCTGTGATTGTTGCTTATAAATTATAATATCTTCAGACACGTTTGTCCAGCACATATGCTTCGTAAAGTCTGTCTAACTATTTGGGTTGAATTCTGTTCTTTAGTGAATGCTAATGACTTCTGATTTGTCTTGCTTATATAATCTTCTTTAATAAATAAATAAATAAATAAATAAATTTCAGCATTCTCTTCACTTTTCAGATTAAAACTTTGGAACAGACCAAAGCCATTGAAGATCTAAATAAATCCAGAGACAAGCTGGAGAAGATGAAGGAGAAAGCTGAGAAAAAGATAAAATCTATCCAGTCAGAACTGGATACTACAGAACACGAGGCTAAGGAGAATCAGGAAAGGGCCAGAAACATGTTAGACGTGGTAACCAGGGAAATGAAGACACTGAAAAAATCTCTGGAAGAAGCAGAAAAGAGAGAAAAGCAGGTGGGTAGAAATCTGCTGACAAAACCTTCTTGTTTAAGAAATTACAGGACAATGTAAAAAGCTTGATAATGATTCATGCATTGCCTTTAAAAAAAAAAAAGTGGACTCTTCATGGATTTGCATGTCACTCTTTCCCAGGGGCCATGCTGATCTTCTCTGGATCATTCCAATTTTAGTATATGTGCTCCCGAATCAAGCAATGGCCATACATTTCTTCAAAATCACTTTTCAAAGCTTTCTGTATCATTTCAACGTATCTTCTCGCCCTCTGACATCTTTTTGGCTCTTAAGTAGCCATTAAGATTTACTCCACTCGGGAAAATTACTCACATTTTCTTTTCTTTTTTTTTTTAATTGTTGGGGATTCATTGAGGGTACAAGAAACCTGGTTACACTGATTGCATTTGTTAGGTAAAGTCCCTCTTACAATTGGGTCTTGCCCCCCAAAGGTGGGCACACACCAAGACCCCACCACCCTCCCTCCTTCCCTCTCTCTGCTTTTCCTTTCCCTCACCTCCCTCCCTCCTTTGAATTACTCACATTTTCATGGCACGAATGGTAGGAAAGAAACAGACATTCTTATCAAAGCAGTGGAAATCTGGTGAAAAACCAGGATCTGGCCGTGGCAGGGTTTTTAATTATGTCCAGTGATTTCCTCTGAAGTTTGCATCATCCCAGATCCTTAAATGTTAATCAGAGCTTAGGAGAGAAGCTTTATCTCTAGTGGAGATCAGTTTCAGGAAATAGCCTCGAGTCTGCAACAGTGGCACCCAGACTTGATAGCCAACCAAGCACAGATGTAAGCCATAAAAAAAGTACTTATTTGGTTGCTGGTTGCAAGGAGGAGCATTTTATCTGGTGAGCCCATCATGAGGTCAGACATAAAGAAACATGTACCGGGCAGCCTGACCTCTATTGCTTTGGCTTTCATCTTGCTCTCTTTCTAAAGCTCAAGAGGACGTAGAGTGGACTCTGATCCTTGGGTTTTTTCCCCCATTGGCTGCCTCTGCTTTGGCTCATGTGTCAGGCAGATTGGTGAAAGCCAAGCCATAAGAGTGAGTGTTCTCAGAAAGAAAACCTCTCAGGAATGAAGAGCTCCGGCCATATTCGAAAAGGTGGAAAAGTTTGAGGGAAGCTTTTTTGTTAGGGGGTCTAGGTTGGTGTCTCAGTCCATTCAGGCTGCTAAAACAAAATACTACAGACTGGGTGTGGCTTAGAAAGAACATGAATTTATTCCTAACAGTTCTGGGGGATGGGAAGTCCAAGATTAAGGTGTCTGGTGAGGACAGCTTTCTGGCTCAGAGCCAGCACCTTCCTGCTGTGGTCTTATATGGTGGGAAGGGACCAGGCAGCTCTCTGAGGCCTCTGTTATGATGGCACTCATCCCATTCATGTGGGCTCTCCACCCTCGTAATCTAATGATTACCCTCAAAACCTTGCCCACTAATACTATGTTGGTGATTCTGTTTTAACATAAGAATTTTGAGAGAGCTCAAACATTCAGGCCATGGCAGCTGGAGAAAATGCCACCATTCCTAAACTGCATGGGAAGGAGTTTGGGGAATGTCACCATTCCCAAACTGCATGGAAAGGAGTCTGGGAAGCAAACGTGCTCCGAGTGGGAATGTTTGGACGCCATTCTCCTAGACGTAACCATCTTCAAGTTGGAGTACACCTTTCCAAACATGGAAGGCACTTCTAGTGAGGTGTTGGCTAGATATCCCTGATTCATCTGCCTCTGCCTTAGACTAGAAGCACCGAAACCGGGTATGAGAATGTGAAGGGACACGGAGCACATCCAACCAGGGCCCCCGTTCCCCGATTCTCCTTTTTCTGATAGACGATGGTAGTTCCAGGGTGGTCCACTGTTACAGCTTATGAGACAGAAATCTGTGTGATGGGCTTTGATAATAATTTGGAAGTCTTCCTGCTTTTGCCTGTTCTCACTTTCTTGCTGTTTGTTCTTTTCTGAGTTTAAGAGGTTATCACCCAGCTAAAATTCCAATGTGTAAGCACTTATTTTCCACTGACACAACCACACCAACCTGTGTACGGCACTTCCTGGTTTGCAGAGCACATACATTGTACTTTCATTTGATCAGAGTTTCGGAGCAGCCCTCTGTGGTGGGTATATGGTGAGGAAATGGAGTGAGGCCAGGGGCTCGTTCATAATTGCTTTATCGGGATGCTCGACTTAGTAGCCAATCCCACATTAATTGGCTCATCAGAAAAGTGGTTCTGAAATCTCTGAAGGTTGGCACCTGAAGGGACTTGGAAGTAATTTGGTATCATACAAATGAGAGAACTAAGGCTAAGAGGGTGAATAATTTGCCTACTCCGTGCAAACCCGGGTTTTCTACAGTTTGTTGTTGTTGCATTTGGCTCAGCACTAGTGGAGCTGACACATTTTCTTCTCCCAGGTGATGGGTTTCTGTTTGATCTTGCAGCTGGTGGACTTCAGAGAGCTCGTGTCCCAGATGCTGGGCTTGAATGTGACCAATCTTCCTCTTCCTGATTATGAAATTGTCAAATGTCTTGAAAGACTGATCCATTCACATCAGCATCACTTTGTCACCTGTGCCTGCCTCAAAGATGTGACTTCTGGGCAAGATAGGTACCCACAAGGCCACTTAGAACTTCTTCACTGAACACAGCATCTCCTGAGGTAGGTGATGCTCAAAGATGGGGTACAAGTCTCAATTTCGCAAGTTCCTCATATATTTGAAATGTGATCATTGTGTGAATATTGTATACTTTGATGATATAGCAAAAATAAGCCATTGGCAAAAAACGGATCTCAAAATGGCTGGCCTTAGATAAATAGTCAACACTCAAGGCACCTAATATTTCATTTATTAGCACTTTAGGACCTGGAAGACTTGCCCTGGATCACGTTACTTACGTTGGGAACAGGAATGAGAAACTAACATTTATGGGGTACCTATTGTTAGTCAGCAGCTTAACTAGCCAATTTAATTCTGATAATAACCATGTGGAGAAGTTTTAATATCTTGATTTTGCAATCTCTCCGGGGCTCAGAGGTGGTGTCACCTCCCCAAGGTTGTAGTTGGCTCTGCACCAAAGGCCGGGCCTCTCTGCTACTTCCCAGTCTCGTGTCTCTGGGATCCCTGGGATGATGGTAGAAGCTGCCTGCATAAAGGAAGGGAAACATGTCTACCATCAGGAGTTAAAGTCCAAAAGGGACAGATTTGCTAAGTGTAACCTATATGATTGCTTTAAAAAGCATATGCCTAATTTACTTGGGTAAAACATGCATAGGTATGAGGTTCTGTAAGAAACTTACCTGTTGGTTTGGCGCCTGTGGATCAAGTGGCTAAGGCGCCAGCCACATACACCTAAGGTGGCGAGTTCGAACCTAGCCCGGGCCGCCAAACAACAATGATGGCTGCAACCAAAAAAAAAAAAAAAATAGCCAGGCATTGTGGCAGGCACCTGTGGTCCCAGCTACTTGGGAGGCAGAGGCA